TAGCAGCCAACAAGATCGAGATGTTCTTTCCCTAATTTCTCAAAGCGTATATCGGCGATAGAATGATAACTTTCGGGAGCCAATGCATTGCACAGGTTTCCCAAATCTGTTGGGTGGATAATAGCTTTATCCACTATATAAAAAGAAAAATCATTACGAAATCAGTACAAGTTTGAGAATGATGTATGCTTTATAAAAAGTATATTACCTGTTCCATTTGTGCTTGTATCAGAACGTAGCTCGATCAATCGATACAAATTTGGGATAAATTTGCTATCGCGAAACTTGGAAAATTTAGACAATCCATAAAAGGAGCGATCGTCGTATGAATAGGACGCAGGCAAATCGTCAAGATCATTAGTATTAGTATTAGACAAATTGTCAGACAAATCGTCGGATTGCTCCCCGATAGCATCGTAGTCTAAAATAATATTATATATACCAGCAACAGTAATAGGGTAATGCATTAGTAATAGGGTTAACTATTGTCTGTCTGACACCTCTTTAAACCGCTGAGTGTACAGTGAACTCTCCCTAAGTGTACCTTCCCTAAATGCACACACTATATAAACTCTCCATAAATGCACGGTATGGTTCAGTACCAGCTTATAAAAACATTATATATTTTGCTCTCTGTAAATGCACATTCTCTCTAAATGCAGACTTTTGGATTTTTTTTCACTATGGTCCCGACAACGTGCATATTTAGAGAGGTTTGACCGTACTTACCGGTGGCGAACTCTGTAGAGACTGGTGGCGTCGCTGAACCATTGGCATCTTCTGAACTTTTAGTTTTATCAATTGTTTTCAATTCGGCGTCAAACATGTTCACTTCTGAAGTTGTAGTAAAATAAGTTATTTTAACAAATTAAAATATATCAAAGACATTCTTTTTGAGCTTACCGTCAGCCTGAGAAATTTCTTCCGGAAACTCCATGTTGTCAGCAACACCGATTCAAAGCGAGTTTTTATCTCTTCTTGAGTACCCTGATGCCAATGCATTTACTTCGACTTATCAATCTTATCATAAACGCAGATAAACCATTGTTCTCTGAAATAGAAAGCTGTACGAGCATAATAATAGGGGTCTTAAATAATTGGAATAGAACAGAATACTAATACAGAATATGACATTGTCTATCCCAATTAAGAAAGTAGCAGTATCTTAAAACAAGGCTATGATGCTTTGGGAAAGCAATTAATTGACTTGTCGTCACGATATTCAAATTTGACCCTTCAAAAATATCATTCGCTCTGCTAAAAAACTCTAGCACGAATACATTTTCCCTGTTATTCTGAAATTATCACACATACTCCGGAACTATCTCCGATACTTTGTACCCCTGCACAGACACATCTCTTTGCAATATTGCTGCGACTATATTTATTGCGATCAGCCCGATAACGACTCGCCAATTGTGCTACCGACCTCAAAACAAACGCAATGTAGAATATACCATTTACATTATATATTCTAACCTAAATTGGTTTAGTACGGCTCGAATTTATATTTACCGTAGCAATGTCGTTTTATTCACAGCAATAAAGATAATGTTACGCAGCTTCGCGATCAGCATATTGAAGGGGTCCGTATTATTTCATCGACCGACAGTACATTTCACCGACAATTAACTACCAAAAAAGGATAACTTCGAAATAATGTTGGTGAAGATTTGTCGGT